CTATCCTGTGGACCATCTCTGTATTTCTTCCTGGTTCCATCTTCATTCTGATTACTACAATAGATAATAATCTATGATTTTAAAATAAATGCTGTCAGTAAATTAAAAGCTAGGTTTGCAAGGAAGTATAGTCATGGGGAAAATCAGAATTCAAATACGTATGCACAAATTCTTCTAACCCAAGTTCCCTAAAATAGAAATCTGAAAATAATTTAAGAATTCTAATACCATCACACTTCAGAAGTCCAGCACTTAGCTGAAAACAATCAGAATTTTTGTTATCCATCTTTCTTTCTATTCAGAAATTACATCACTAGACAGTCCTACAGTACATGTTTGGGTGTTGGGTTTTTTTTTTACATTTCTGTATTTTAGTTATTTTTAAGCAGAGGGGAAGGGAGGGACAGAGAGGGACAGAAACATCATTGTGTGGTTGCCTCTCTTGTGCCCCCAAACTGGGGACCTGGCCCACAACCCAGGCATGTGCCCTGACTGGCAGTCGAATCAGGGACCCTTGGTTCACAGACTCAATTCACTGAGCCCACACCAGCCAGGGCTCTGTATTTTTACTAAAGTAAAAAAATTCTTTTTTGCTCTAATTAAGTGTCCCTTAAATTATCCTGTATTGGAAACACAGGTTATTTTTTTAATTTACTTTTATTATCAAAGATCAAAAACTACCTCTTAGACCTAAGGCCTAAGAACAGAGTTCAAGCCACTCTGTTCTGGAACACAAGTCTGCTTTCCTTTTTTTAAAAAATGCTTTCACTGCTGTTTTGACCTTTAGGAGTCTTCTTCTCTCAAACTGGTTTTAAACAGTATCCCAACTGTTCTCAACCTTGCTGACTCCCAAGTAAAACATAGGCTCATTTCATTGCTATTATTATGAATTAAAAGAGGGTAGTGAAAACAATACATATAAAAAAGTCTAAATAAATCTTGGTACCCAGTTTAGTCTCTAAATTGTCTTGCTAAGAAAGTTAATGGAAGTATAAAGATGGTATGCTAGCTTTCATCCCAACTCCCCACTTCCAAGGTCAGATCTAAACCAAGGTGTCATCTCGAGACCTGCCAAACTTACATATTATTGCCACTGATCAGGAATTCCAGCTGGAGAGGCACTACTTTACTGGCTCCTTGCCCCACGAAGCTCCTGTTGGGGCTTATCCTCACACCCTAAAATAAAGCTGCTTTTTTAGCTTTTTAAAAAAATATTACTATTTAGCCTTATTTACAGAAGAGATTTGAGGAACTTTGTAAGAACACAGGGGAAACTGTAAGTAGATAAAAATCTGAATCTAGGAAAAATAATTAACAAGTTAGAATATAGGCATGCAGGCAGTTGAGTCCTACATAATTATTAAAAGTAAGTTTAATTTTAATCTGAGATTTCTCACGACTAAAGCAAAAACTGAGGGCAATCAGTGAGTGATTTGCATTGTCCAGAAGGAAAAGGCAAATTGATTTCTCAGAAGTAACACTTTTCCTGAAACAGGTCTAAATAAAATCCCTCATCTGGATTCTGAGTGATATAATATTCCCTCAATTATCTTCACAAAAAAGGCAACCACAGATCTCATTCAGCTGTTGGCTGATTTTTAAAAATTTTGTTCAAGAAAATAGTATCACATTACATGGCTTAAAGTCTTAAACTTTGCAAAATTCAAGCTGGAAAATGAAACTGTGCTGGCTAAAACTACTTGTGACATCCAACATCATCGGCAACTATCAAGATGAGATCCCAACATTTTCAGTGTGGACTTGCAGTGGATACTTTGGCCAAGATGAATTTTCTAGACACGAAAGCATAACAAGCACACCCTCCTCACTACCTCTGTATTGTAAAAATATTTTTATTAATGCATTGATGGCACTGTAATAATTTTGAGATCTCTCCTGAGTTCCACATCTTTGCCCTCTTTGTAACCAACCCCTAGCCCAGTGCCTAGAATACAAATACTCCATTAATGTTCAGAGTTGAATAATACCAATTAAGGAAAGCCTAGATCAGAAAAATACTGAAAGTATTACATTGATAAAACAGCTACTATAGTCTACAGCTACTGATGGGAGAGGCAGGGATGGGAGTGGGGTGGAGGGAAGAGGAGGGTAAGGTGCAAGGACCACTGCCAGAAAAGGATTCAGACTTGAAACATGTCCCACAGCACTGAAACCTTTCACAGCTATTCTTGACTTTTCCATAGAAATTCTTATCACAGCATTTCATATGCTCCAGAATTAGCTTATTCCATAAAGGCAGGGATATTCTTCACTGGCTAAATTCAATGCCACATGAAAAATAGTGTTTCCATTACCAGGGCTGGGGGGGGGGCATTCAGGAAAGTAAAGCGTAAATGCAATTCAAGGTGAAACTTCTCTATGGCAGCTTTTCAAAATGAACTGGTTTTGAAAAAAATCATTCTAAAGTTATTACACATACTGCTGCCCTAGTGAAATCTAAACAACTGAAACTTAAATGAATGAATCCTTATAAATGCATCATAAAATGTTTAAATATTGAGACAAACGTGCTGTTTTCTCTCTCCATTCCTAGTGATTTTTCTCAATTATCCAGATTGCATCCCAATGCCCCATTTCCTAATTTCTACTACTATTTGTGCTTTGTTTTTCCCCCTTTTCTTCCCTCATTTCTTTCCCATTCCTACTTTCCTTGCCTTTGGTATTAGTGGGGCTTATTTTTCATCAACAGCCAGTGAAGGCATTCTTTCATTTCCGCTTTCACAAAGTGATCGATCATGTCCTGCATTCTGTAACCTTCATCTCTTGATTTTGCTCAGCTATGTTTTTATCACTGATAACTTTTCTACACTTCAGGTAACTACACCTGTTCCAGACAACTGAAGGTGCTTGTAATTCAAGGGGTGGGGTAGGAGGGGCAATGCTAGTTAAGTCAAAGTATTATTTTATGGTTATCCTTATCCTTACACGAACTTACTTTTCTTTTTTCTCCTAATTTTCAAATCACAAGTTGTTGTCAATTTCCCAGTTCCTACATCAGGCTTTTAAAAGACTCTGGAGAAGAGGTAAGTTGCACACCAAGAAAATAAGTAAAAAATGGCCTAAATGGAAACTAACAGGTGTCCAACCTGTCACCTGCATTCAGCCCAGGATGCCTAAGAATGTGGCCCGACACAAAATCAGAAATTTTCTTAAAACCTTTTTTTTTTCCTCATCACTTTTTTGTTAGTGTTTGTGTATTTAATGTGTGGCCCAGAGACACCAAAAGATTGGACACCCCTGTTTAGCATTAATGCATATAATATGCAGAAACTACATTCTTTTTAGGCAATACGGACTTTTATCTAAAAGAAAGGCTATATGCAATCAACTTAGAAAAGCTGAGGTTTTTCTTCCTTTTTAATGTCTTCACTTTGTCTACTATCGCTGCTATAACTTTAGGAAAGCATTTAATAAAAATAAAACCTTTATTAAGTCAACTATTTCTACTGTGTAATACAAAAGGCTTTAACAGTATGTACTCTTGTATGCCTTAAATTGTATCTTCACTCTTACTCATACCAAACTATGGTAATAAACTCTGAAAAACATCCAAATAGGAATTTGGTTTAAAATCTCATTGCTAAAATCACAGGGTAAATTGATGAAACAAAAAATGTACCCTAAATCCAGGCTCTGAATCCTTTTGCGTATTTTAATATTCTGTGTAAGTATTTATGAAATTTGGGACTGCTTCCTCATTTGGAAATGTTTGAGGTAGGGTGAAGGCAAGTAAGATAATTATGATTAATGAAAGGAAAACAAAATTTTAAACTAGCCAACTCGATTCATTTCTCCTGTGTCATAGTACATACCACCACGTGCTTCAATTATGGAAAGATGGTTGCTCTGGGATTAGAGCAAACATCTGATGTAGAAAATTCAGTGTAACCTACAGAACACAATTCCTTTCAGTCATCCAAGAGGGCATGGAAATGACTTTTGTACTTTTACAAAGTAATGGGATTTTACTGATTAAGACTGTAAAGTCTCACATTTACTGAGCATCCAGTATGTGTCAGGTAATTTTAAGAATTTGATATGATTGGTATTTAATCCTTCCAACAACCCTATGAGTTAGATATGATTACCATCACCCTGTTTAACAGATGGGAAGTGACCTTGAGTGATTTCCTCAAGCTCACTTAGGTTCTACAACAAGGATTCAAACAACAGACACAAGTTAGTACTCTTAATTCCAATGCTACATTATTTCCCCAGTAATATAGAAAGAGAACTGTGCCCCCACCCCACATTCAGGTAAAATCCCACCTTCTGTCAGATTGTTCTCTTTTGCAGTCCATTGAAAATACATCCTGAAAGTTTTTGAGCATCATCAGAAGATCCAGTACCTCTAAAGCATAGTTTTTAGTTAAAATTTAGGATATTTTCCCTATAACTATTACCTGTAATTTTTGCTATGTCTAAAAATAAGTATATAAAAATATCTGAACCACATAAAAAATTAAGACAAGACTTCATGTTTTAAAAGAACATAACCAGTTAGTTGAGGTTCCACTGAAAGTATCTTATAATAAAAACAAATTTTAATTTGTCACTTAATAACACTAAAGAATGAGGTATATAAATGCTTTAATCACAGACTTTTACTGTATGCAAATAACTGTTTTTCACAACTACATCTTACAAATAGGACAGTACCACTGTGCCTGTAAAAAGTACTGCAATTAAACAGAAAATTACATCGCCACAGGAAACCACCAAATATCACAATGGTTAGGGTCTACAGCTTTATTTTTTTTCTTGAAATGCTATCATGTCTTTATGTGATATTTCGTATCCAACTTATGTTTTTAAGTTCGTTTATACTGCAGAAGTCTCCTACAGGTGGCTATATATGAAGCAAATGGCTAAGAAAAAGCAGGAGACCCTAGAATTTAGGAAGTACTGTGTGGTTTCTAGGTTTGATTTTTAAATATAACATAAAACACTTCATTAGTTGTAAACAAAAATGCAAAATCTGTAGTCATAAAAATATTTTATTCATAACTTTGCATAATAGTAAGTGGGGCTGTAAATACTTTTCACTTGGAGATACTGAGAAATGCATAAACTGGCAGATATGTCTGTAAGTAGGGCACTATGATTTTCATAAGAATTGTTACATTTAATAAGAGGCCAATTAAACTATTTGAGACTATTTTTTCTCCAGTTCTGTGCAACAGTTCCCATTTCTGTATTAATTAGATTCATACCTCTATAACCCTGGATAAAGTTTGGAGCAAGGAAACAGTGATAGAACTATTAAGTTAAAGCTTTTCCAAAATTACAGCTTTTAAAATATGGCAGGTTTCTTTTCTCTTCTGCATTGGCCAAATGCTTATAATTACTTGAATTTTAATTTTTTATATAATACAGAAAATACCAGTGTTCAATGACAATAGCACTAAACCTGAATTATAAAGCTAAATAATCAATGTTTTATTGTTTACTTATCTGAGAGTAAACATTACAATAAATGAATGTTTTAAAAGATAAGGAAAAAAAGATAAAACCAGAAATATAATTCAGGAATAATAATTTAGTAAAATGTGTCAAAAACATTGGCAATGGTTCATACAAATTCTTTATTTAATAACAATTTTCCTATTTAACCACACCAAGTACCAGCAGGTGTATTAAGAGGATAACCATTAAGAAAATCTTGTTGCAGCAATAGCTGATTAAGTTGATCTTTGACTTGTATACATATAACTATTTGTTTCACAATTCTCAAATAATACATATTTAGGCAGCTTGCACTATGTTATAAAAATTTAAATTCGTTACATGCCAATAGTAGAGAATTCAAGATTTATGTGTTAGAATTCACTAAACTAAAAGTGAAAACAGACTTACCAATAACACTGCAATAATGAATAATTCAAACACATTTTCATGGCACCTTTAACTGTGGAGACCAAAATGTTGAAGTCTGGAAATGTCTGGTAGGCACAGATTGCAATAAAATCTAACAAATTCTAACAAATTTCTATTTTATGTAAAACGCAAATTATGGATTGTGCATGAGTATGTCTGTCATGAAAATGTGGTAATATTGGCATAATCTGTGTACTTGCATGGTATGATAGAAGTGACTAAGAAACTGGAGAAAATAAACTTTAATGAGATTCTCCATTCAATGATGAGGCTTCTCCTCTGGGTGAAGATGACCTGGACATTCCCCTCTCTGTGTTATCAGAGCTAGAGCCACTCTGACTGTGCTGATCTCCAGAAGCAGCACTAGATGCAGGCGGGGACTTCGTTTTCTCCTTAAAGTCTGTAATAATCACTGTCAGATCTCCAACGGTAACTTCCAAATGCTGAGCACTACTCCGATCCACATTTTTCAATCTTGGCCTAAACATACAAAAGATGGTAAAATTGTAAACTAGTTTTTCTGTCTAACTTTAATTAGGCAAAAATACTCTTACCAAAATGAATACATCTGTATTTAAAGCTGTACATTCATGTGTAACAAACTAGCCACAAAAATATCATTAAATGTTTCAAATCATTAACATTAATCAAACCAATCACTCATGAAATCTTCAAAATGACAAAAAAAAAGTGACACTCTCAAAGCAATAGTCTCTTAATTGTGCTTTTATAGCTTTATCATAATTTTGCGGACAGATCATCAACTTTATTAAAACAAACGCTTTAGACCAGCAATGACAGCTGCGTCACTGAGGAAGGTGGTAACGGCTACCTGTGGCTGTGTTGTACGCAGGGCTCTCAGTCCACTGATGTGCAGGAATAAGGGCACCCAGGCTGTCTGTTCCACCCAGACCCATGACCATTTAGAGAGATGAAAGCCCGTGCAAATGTCTGTGAATATTGTGAATATCACTCCTAGCTTTTTGAGTGAAAAAGCAATAGGTTCCCCCCCATAAAAAAGAAATAGCTCAAATGTAAATGTATTTTAATCTAGCAAAAAAAAAAAAATCCTCACGTTTAAGTTTGTATTTGTGGCCTCTATGTTTAATTTCTAGTACATCTTTCAAACTTAAAAAAACCATTCCATGATACTATATAATAAAGATGAAATATTTTACTGCTACCTTGTATATATCAGTGTTAAAAGAAATAAAATGGTTCATTGTATTATTTGGAAAGTACCATAAAAAACTCTTTAATTTACCTGGTTTTCTTATGACTGTTCTTTTTGCTAGTTGTTTCCTTTTCACTTTTTTCTTTTTCTACTTTATCTTTTTTCTCTTTCTTTGACTGTGTAGGGGGCACAAACTGCTGAGTAACCTGCTGTGCAACCAACTGGGAGACGGGCCGAGGCTTCCTGTGTGCATGTTAAAAAGAAAGGTTTTTTTAAAAAACATTATCGCTTAATATATATTCTTTATGAGAGAATACCTCAAATTATGAGGATACATATTACAGTTCTCAAGTATAAAAGTTCTTCACATGTAAGGTAATTCGGATGCACAATTTAACAAATATACACACACAATTGTTGTTTTCCTAACCCAACAAAAATAGAAATATAGTAGCTGAAAGTTATAGCCCAAGACATATGGTCAAAACATTAGAATATAACTTACATATATCAATATGAAAATTATTAAAAATGTGTTATCAAACTGAACACTCATAGGAAAACACATATATAAATAAACGTAAATTTTAAAAATTAAACTTGAAAGTTTACACTGAAAAAACATTTAAAATTATCCCTCCTCCCTCAGAAAACCATCTGTGGCAATGACTATTTGTTTTTTTTCCCCTTAAAATCTTTCATTTATTCATTTAAGAAATATTTGAATGTCGAAATTTCCCAGGCCTTATTGCTCACTCAATTCCTTGAGGTACTTTATGTATCTGGCCCAATCTCACCATACTTTTTTGACACTGGAAATCTACCCAGTCCTTTGAGACATGCCTCCTCATTCACTTACTAATTTAAAAGTTATTTACTGAAAAACTACTGTAGGAACCACACAAAGATACCTGAAATGTTGCCTGGCTTTAACCTTGGTTGCCAGTACAAGCTATCACTCTATTGGCACAGATTAAGGATCCCTCCAGCTTTATGGCAGAACTTGGGCAACTAAGGTCAGGATTCAAAGTAAGTAGTATCTAAGTTCTTAAACTGAGAGACAAGAAGACTGAGAAAAGGAAAAGGGAGGCAGGGAAAAAGTTAGGGAGGATACGAATACATTTCAACAGATGATCTATAAACAGGAGTAATTTTATTGTCTGGAAAATCCTGACCTTATTTTGGTCAGTAGAGTTACTTAAAAAAAATTGGGGGGGGGGGGGGGGGGGGTGTCCTCTAGATCAAGACAAAATAGAAGCCAATGAGAAAATACTATATAATCTACAATCCAAAACTGCAAGGAGGAATCTTTTGAAGAAGAAAACAGGAAACATAATGTGTAAAACATATTTCAGCAGATGGATAATGAATTTTGTTTAGATCATGAAGAGTCTGAAGTACCAGAAGGATATCCAGGAAAGATGTCCAATACACAATTTGAAAAGGTAGGGTGGACATAGAAATCACAGTTAATGATGCAGATTAGGAGTTACACAAGTGAAAGTGACGTTGAAAGCATGGTAATTAATGGCTGAGCTTATTCAAGAAATGAACTTAAAAAAAAAAGGGTTATAGGAGTGGTTCTCAAATTTAAGTCACAACAGGATCACCTGGAAGGCAGCCCTACTCCCAGAGTTTCTGGTTCAGGAGGCCTGAGGAAGAGCCCAATAATCTGCATTTCTAACTAGTTTCCAAGTTGTGCTGATACCTCCCGTCTAGCCACCACACTTTGCGAAGAAATGCAGTGTTGCTACTGCAATAGCTTAAAGCTTGAGAAGAGAAGTAGGAAGGGTGGAGAAAAAAAGCAAGGCTGGATGCCTAGGAAGGAACCTGATCATGAAAAACAAAGGGGTCTGATTTCCCCTTAAAAGACTGAAGAAATTCAGCTTTGAATTTTATAAAGATGGCAGCAGTCTTAAGGGGAAGGGTACACAGAGGCAGGGAAACTATTAAAAAGCTACTTGAAATAAAACTAAATGTGTTGTCATCCTCTAAAAAAAAAGAAGAAACCACTTCAAAAAGGGCCTGACCTGAGAAAGCAGCAGTGGAATTATTTAAGACACTGAAGAGGCAGAATCAAGGGGAAAGGATGACTAATCGATTCGTGCCTTCCTCACTTCTCAACCAACTAACATTCCTTTACCAAACATACAGAAATCCTGGGTGTAGCCAACTTCCTGTGACATAAAAGAAAAGAAAGAGCCCTGGCTGTTGTGGCTCACTGGACTGAGCACAGGCCTGTGAACCAAACGGTTCCGGTTCCATTCCCAGTCAGGGCACATGCCTGGGTTGTGGGCCAGGTCTCCAGCTAGGAGCTGTTTGAAGCAACTGATCAATGTCTCTCTCACACATCAGTGTTTCTCTCCCATTCTTTCTCCTCCCTCCCTTCCCCTCTCTTTAAAAGTAAATATTAAAAATAAAAAGAAACAGTCTTAGATGTTGATAAATGCTATGAAAAAATGAAGGAACGAACAGGGAGTATTGAGGAAAGGGTTGAAGTTTTAATTTTGTCTTGTTTCCTCTTCTAAAATAAACTCCACGAGAAAAGAGACTGTATTATGTACCACTGTATAACTAGTACCCAGCATAATGCTGAAAAAATACTAGATAATTAATATTTGCTGAAGACTGACAAATGATAAAATCAGGTTTAATGACAAGGGAAGATTTTTTTTAAGAAAAGGGGTACAGTAATGTCTAAGTTTACTCATTGGCCAGGATCAACCACTTACTAGAGAAGAAGATAAATAATGAGAAAGTAAAAGCAGCCAAGAATTACTTTCTCTTCTAATAATGCTGTAATATGGAAAGATAAAGAAAGCTCAAAGGTGTGTCAGGGTTGAGAAAAGATTTGTTTAGACAAGTGCCTAGTGAACACTGAGTCACCTAAAACTGAATGCCACTCCAAGATACAAAACGAGATTGAGGTACAGTAATCAAGGTATTGGGGATCTCTGGATCTATTCCTTCCACAACAAATGAAGGTTTGACTGACAACTTACTTTTACTGCCTTTTGTAGTGTTGCTCCCTTTTCCATCTCAAAATTTAAATGCAAAGCTAATTTACAAAAAGGTTAATAAGTTAAACTGAATTACAAAAAAACACGCAAATATTAAAATAAATTTACATTCTTTTGAACTTGAAATCCTGAAGTTTCCAGCAATTACCAAATTGATTTTACTTATTCAGTAGCCATTAATACTAACTTAAAATATATAATTTATATTCTGTTTACTTAGTGCTGCCTTAAAGTAAAATTGATTATTTTTCTAGTTTTTTTCTGGATTCATTAATGACCTCAATAGCTCAATGCTGGTTATTTTTCCCCCATCAAATCTACATATCTCCATCATGGACACTCAGATCACGATGATTTTTAGGACTATAACTACTGCGCTGTGGTTAGGTACAATGTTTTTATAGCATGATCAATCACGCTCCTTTCTCCCCTCCAGCATTTGTCTCCCAGTGGGTGCCCATCTATTTTGTGATTCTGCTCCTCAAGATTCTCACTCCAACTTCTATGTGAGAAAGGGATAATCCTAATTCCCCAGCTTCATGAATCCTGCAATATAACTGCTGCCAACTCTTTTTTATGTTTAACAACTTTCATGTCTCCAGAATGTTCCTAGAATCATTTTCCCTTTTTATATGGCCCATATAAAATATGAGTTCATTAATGTGAAAATAAAAACATATTAGTAAAGCAGAATTTGCTTCATAAAACCATGAGGTTAAACTAAAATTAATAATTTATTTCTAAACAAGTTATGAACCTCGAATTCTAAGTGTTAAACTCTCAGTGTAAGAACGAAATAGTCAGTGTATACTCTCCTACAAGGCACAACCAACACAAAGAACCAGCTGAACTGCTCAGGGGAGAGACTAGAGTCAAGACTAGGTAGAAGACTAGCACATCATACTAGAAATGAAGTAAGTAACAGTAACAATGATCTATTCTATGGTGTAGTCAGGGGAATGGAATTGAAGCAGTAAATCTGACGACATTTCAGAAGAATAATACAACCTGACATATGCTGAGTAATAGGGATCAAGAACTCTCCCTGTTACCCACTGATCCAAATGGGAGTTGAAAATAAGAAGGGAATTAGGAAGCACAGTGCTATGGATTGAATGTTTGTGCCCCTTTGAGAGGTGATTAGGTCATGCAGCCCTCATGAATGGGATTAATGCTCTTATAAAAGAGGTCACAGACAGATCCCTTGCCCCTGCTGTCGTGTGAAGCACAATGAGGAAGTGTATCCTCATCAGACACTGAATCTGCTAGTGTCATGGTCTTATCTTGGACTTTCCTGTCTCGAGAACTGTAAGAAATAAATGTTTGTTGTTTATATCTCACACAGTCTATGGTATTTTTGTTAGAGCAGCTCAAATGGACTAATAAGGCAGTTGCAGGAAGCCAAGAACTATTCTAAACAGGAGGGACTGATGAACTTGGTGGTGACAATGTTGGGTTTGTATATTTTAAAAATATAAGCAAAGCTGTAATTAGGGCCAGTAGAAATGTGAGACTAGTGGTCTGATAAGCAACCATATAATCTTTGTACCTAGTGTTGTTTGTCATTGATTTTTTAGTCACCAGTAAATTTTCTATAGTGGTTTTCTTTTTCCTTAAGGAAAATAATATTTATTTCTGTGCTTGTTCTTTCTCTTTTTATCCTAGACCTTACTAAATATACACTATTCCATTCTTTTATTATTAGTTTAATGGTGGTTGACTTTCACTTAAAGATTATAACTTTGTTCCTCTGTTCTACAATTATTTGTTCTGGTTTAAATTTGGGAGAAAAGAACAAAATCTATGTGTATACATATAGCCTCGCTATTGAAAGTTTTCTGCTGCTCTCTAGGAGCTCAGTGAGCTGTAAAGATCCTTCACTGACGACAGAGGAAACACAGCTTATGATGATCTTTGTATCGTATCACTGAGTGCCTCATCTTCACCACAGTCTGTGAAAAAGAAAGCCCTTCTATATCCAGGGAGCTTAAGAAGGTTTAACTGTGATTCCTTTTCTATTTAATGAGAAAAATAAGGAGGACGGTAGGAAATTTCAGAGGTAAGAGAGAGTTAACCCAGGAAATAAGGGGCAGGGAATCATTTATAAGGCATGCTTTATGTTCAGGAATTTATCATTTGGGGTTTTGACACTACACCTATAATGCCAAAGGTTCTTTGATAAAAAAGGACAAAAAAAATCATCTCATTAGTAAAATAAGTGCT